TCCTCCATTCTCCTCTTGGGATCTTGGGCACGCACGCACACATGCCCGGCATGAGTTTTAAGCCACTGGGTCCGGTATGCGAACCACGGTCGACTGTGTGGGAGTCCAGCGACATAGCCATTATGCTAACTGCTGGTCCCAGCAATCTTCGAAATTCTGTTGTAAAGGAATTAGAATATATTTCATGATAATAAAGGACCAATATATAACACTTTGCTTGGTGATTTGTAATCTTAAGAACCGATTAAGACTCTTCAATTAGCCTTAATCTTTTTTTTAAAGAATTATTTTATTGGGAACCAGCAGTTAGCGTAATGGCAATGTCGCTGGACTCCCACGCAGTCAACCGTGGTCGCGTCCCGGTCCCGGTGCTTAAAACTCACGCCGGAGTGTGTGCGTGCATGCCCAAGATCCTGAGAAGAGAATGGAGGAGAAGGGATTGCGGCATGACCATCTTCCCTGGGGGGTGATTTCTCGCTTTCTGTCTCTATGTCTCTCTGTCTGGCGAGCGCATGCGCCCTATAGCGAAAAACCTCTCCAAAAAAAAAAAGAATTATTTAACTTTATTATTATTATCATTATTATTTTCCAGTTTGATCAGAGAGACACAGAGAGAGAGAGGAAGTGAGAAAGCAAGCCACCAGGCCCGAGACTTGAACCGTGGTTGGCCATGTGGGAGTCCAGCACCTTTAACCACCATACCACTTGCCAGCCCAGCCTTAATGATCTTTAAGACAGCTTTAATTGAAGGTAAAAAACAGAAAACCTAATATTTGTATTTTAAGTTACTAGGAAGATGAATGAATCAAGTTTTTGTATTTTTTAATGGGGAAAAAATTGGTGAGGAGTTGACTGCAGTTCAAGTCCCGGACCCAGTGGCTTAAACTCAAACTGAACGCATGTGTGTGCATGCCCAAAGTCCGAGAGGAGAATATGGCGTGGCCATCCCCGACAGGGGGTGATTTCTCGCTTTCTGTGTCTCTGTGAGCACATGTGCCCTATAGCAAAAATCTCTTAATAAAAAAAAAAGAGAAACTGCTATTATATCAATACTAAATGTTTTATCACTGTTAGTAGTAGGTATTTTTCTAAAGGTTTCTCTGTAATCCCGACAACTGTCACTAGGGTTTATTGAACTGTTCTTTTCTCTAGTTCCTCCAGCCCAAGGATTTGGAGTCCCCCCAGGTGGAGCAGGCTTTTCTGGCTATCCACAGCCACCGGCACAGTCCTATGGTGGTGGCCCAGCACAGGTCCCACTTCCTGGTAGGTACCAGCTATCCAGAGAAAAAGAATATCATAAAATTAAATAGTTTGGAAATTTCAGTTACTATTGAGAGACCTTAGTTTATGTTTGGCATAGTCTTCAGTTAATGTAATATGTCTTTAATTTTAAATGTGTGATATCATGAAATACATTAATTTGATAGAAAAGCTTAATCACAAAAATAGAGATAAGGATCTACTTTTTCTATTAAAACTGCCCCAAAGTCCCAAACCAAACATTCTCTGCCTACTCCTATACTACAGATGAGACCACCAACAATGCCAGCAGATGACAAAATTTAATTTGGTTCGAATATTAAAAACAAAAAAACTGCCCAGCTGTGGTGGCGTGCACCATTAAGATACTGTGTTCTGCAGGCTGGGAACACATAGGAGGACCAACTTTGATTCTCAGTCCAGTCTAGGGGTTGGACACAGTGGCATGTGCTTTAATCTCAGCAACTCAGGGAGGCTGAAGGAGGAGGATTATGGGCTCAAGGCTGGTTTGGGAAACATATTATAGCAAGACCCTGTCAAAAATTAGTAAAAAGAGGGGACTAGCAGGTGGCATGGTGATTAAGGTGCTAGACACTCCCACATGACTGACCATGGTTCGAATCCTGGACCTGGTGGCTTGCTTTCTCACTTCCCCTCTTTCTCTCCCTCTCTCTCTGTCCAATTGAAAATAAATAAATGAGTAAATAAAATTTTAAAAAAATTAATAAAAAGACCTGCTGGTGGCCTAGTGGTTAAGGGAGCTATCCAACATGGCTGTGATTAGGATTCTGGTCCAATGATTTGAAATATATACCAGCACATGTGAGTGCCTGCCCTAAATCTTGCCAAGATGGGAGAAATGGTAGTGTGACCATGCCATGTGTGCTGCTTTCTCCTTCTCCTTCTTTGTCTCTCTTTGTTGAGCACAGGTGCACTCTAGCAATTAAAAATTATAAAAAGTATTATTTGTCAGGATCTTATGTAGAACATGGAATTTTTTTTCTTTTTGTTAGGTTTTTGTCAGAGTGCACATGTACTTACTGGAGAGAGAGAAAGTGAGAAATCATCCCCCTAGGGTGATGACCATGCTGTGATCCCTTCTCCTCCATTATCCTCTCCGGATTTTGGGCATGCATGCACATTCGCATGGTGTGATTTTCAAGTCACTGGGTCCAGGGCTATTAATGGTGGTCAGCCATGAGGAAGTTACGCACCTGATCACCAGGCCACCTGCTGGCGTCAAACATGGAATATTTTAAAGTTTATTTTCTTGAGAGAGAGAGAATAGTAGTACACCCGCGATGGAGTTTAACACTGCAATCTTTTCCCTGGCCTTCCCAGCCAGTCAGGATCATGGGCATGCACATATGGTGTGTGTAGGTTTACCTGGGAACCAAATCCTGATCTTCCACATGGCTTCCAGCTTGCATAGCATTGTGCCATCATGACTGGGTCTAGAACATGAAATATTTGAAAGATTCTTATGATAAAAATCGGTTTTAGATTCAGCAAATTAAATGTTTAGGAAATTATCCTAGTGAATAACAGTGTGAACATTCTCATGTGTTTCTGTATTGTGATCAATGCTGTTTGAAAAATTAAACTATATAAAACCTGCTTGCTCTGTTTTGTTAACATATAGGTGGCTTTCCTGGAGGGCAGGTGCCTTCTCAGTATCCTGGAGGACAAGCTCCTTTCCCTAATCAGGTATTTTTTGTCCTATCTCTTAAATCTACTCTGAGTAAATGAATAATGCCAAAGGACTCCACTCCTTTGCTTATGTTAAGAAGTTTCCATAAAACAAACAAAAGTCTGTCATAGTAACTTAAGAGTTTAATCTTTGGGGTCAGCAGGTGGCATGGTGGTTTAAGGTGTTGGACTCCCACATGACTGACTGCGGTTTGAGTCCTGGACCTGGCTGCTTACTTTCTCTCTCTGGTCAATTTGAATAATAATAATTAATAAAATCTTTTTTAAGAAAAGAAACTAATCTTTGCTTCTGATGAACTCCATTGTCTCGTTGGTTCATCTGTTTTAAGTAGTGTCCTGATGATAGATGAGCACGGGTCCTTCTCACAAGTGCGGAAGACTATTACTTTATCCTGGAGAGTCACCTGTGCCCTTGGCATGTTTTTTTTGCTTTTTGTTTTTCTTTTTTTCTTTTTCCCTGTCCTTATCAGCAATTCTAACTATGAACGTGGGAAGCTGGGTGGTTGGATTTCTGGTGGTAATTTATTTTTCACCTTTACCTTTATAACTGTTCACTCTTCTTCCAGATCAGTACAGAATCCTTTCCTTCCTATCCTGTTTTCTCTCCTGTTTCTTTGGATTATAGCAGTGACGTGAGTAAGGTTTTCTAATGTCACTAATCACAAGTTTCTCCATGTGTGTCTTCATTTGTTTCTGATTCACATGTGCTTATCTCTTACCCCCTCCTTGAGAGCTTCACTGTATCTGATTTACTACTGTGTTCCTGAGTGGCTGGCAGGACTTTGGCATGGTAGCCAGTTACATATGTAAAACTGAATTCTCAATAGCCCCAAAAAGTTTTCCATGTATCAGATTTTCACCCATCTCTATATAGCTTCTTATATTAATATTAAATTTTATTCCTAAGTTGCCTTGCTGGTTTTTAAATGTTATATGTGAATTACTAGGAACATAAGCACGTTACTTTTATGTGTACCTTTTCTTGATTTTCTTCTTGATTTCTTTACTATATATTTATAAAGATCTATTGATAACCTTTTTTTGGGGGGGAGAGGTTTTTGCTACGGGGCACGTGTTTTAGCCACACAGACAGAGACAGACAGACAGAAAGCGAGAAATCACCCTCCAGGGGGGATGGTCACGCTGCAATCCCTTCTCCTTGGGATCTTGGGCACGCACGCACACGTGCCCGGCATGAGTTTTAAGCCACTGGCTCTGGGACGTGAACCGCCGTTGACTACATGGGAGTCCAGCGACATAGCCATTACGCTAACTGCTGGTCCCAAGATCTATTGATAACCTTTTTAAGCTTAGTTTACAGTAGGATAGGAGAAAGATGACAGTATTAGAGAAACACATCTGATTTTTTTAAAGTTTATTTTAAAAAAAACAGTTATTTTATTTAAGTTTATTTATTTTAATGTGACCAGAGAGGGAGAGAAAGAGAGAGAGGGGGAAATGAGAGAGAGAGTCTGCTGGTCCAGGACTTGAATTGCAGTTGGCCATGTGGGAGTCCAGTGCCCTTCACCACCACACCACCTGCTGGTCCTATCAGTGATATTTTTAAATATTTTTACTAAAGGTTGCATGTGTTTGCCAGAGAGAGGAGGACAGGGAGAAAGCATCCTCTATGAGGAATGGCCATACCAGTGTGTTTTACAAGCCACAGAGTCTAGGACTCAAACCATGCATTGGGCTATTACCCTCTAGGCCACAGGCTATCCCCATCAGTGATTTTTTTTTCTTTTTTTTTTTTTTTTACTCACTTTCCCGACTTGAGAAATTAGGGGTCTACAAGGGTCTACCTCGTGAAAAAAAGAGCTGAGAAAAGATCCAAATTTTCTTACTTTGCGGTCAGTAGTCTCTCCTTACACAGTGCTATTTTGCAGTAAATGATGTTCTTCCTAAGAATATAGTGAGTTGCTTTGCTTTCAGTCCTTTTTTTTTTTTTTTTTTATTGAAGTTGATTGTGAATTTTGTTTTAAAGCTTGGACCTCCTTTTTTTTAATGCCAGAAGGCACATGTACTTGCCAGAGAGAAGAAAAAGCATCCCTCAGTGGAGCATGGTCATGACACAATCCTTTTTCCTCCATTTGTCCAGCCTGTCAGAATTTGGGGCATGTACATATACATTACTGACATTTTTAAAAATAATTATTATTTAATTTTATTTATTCATTCATTTTTAATTTGACCAGAGAGAGAGAGAGAAAGTGAGAAAGCAAGCTACCGGGTCTGGGGATTCAAACCATGGTTGGCCATGTGGGAGTGTCCAGTGCCTTAACTACCATGCCACCTGCTGGTCCCCCTGACATCCTTTTTTAAGCATCCAGAGCTGGGATTGAAATCGTGGTCACCCACATGGGATCTGGCTCCCTCTACATAGCACTTAACCCTGTGCTGTGGGGTGACCCAATCATAAGTCTATATCATACTAATCACCTTTGATATGAGAATTTTTATTGTAATTTAAGCATGCATATAGTTTTAAAGCCATCATTTTATGGCTCAATGTGAAAAAAAATTTTGACACAAAACTCTAAATATACGACCTGTACATATATGCCACTTTAAACTAGTACTAAAACTGGTAGGTAAATGTTAATGGAGTGGTAGACTTTTTTTTTTTTTTTTTAAGAATTATTTTATTTTTATTTTTTTGATTTAACCAGAGAGGGGGGGGGGGGGGAGCGAGAGAGTGAGCCACTAGGTCTGGGACTTGAGCCATGTTCTGCCATATGGGAGTCCAGCATCCCCAATCAGCATGCCACCTGCCAGCCCCTATAGTTTTTGTTTGTTTGTTTGTTTGTTTTTTAGAATTACCTATGGGGGGTGGCAACAGGTGGTGTGGTGATTAAGGCGCTAAACTCCCACATGGCTGACCACACGCGGTTCAAGTCCCAGACCTTGCAGCTTTCTCTCTCTCTGTCCATCTCTGGTGAATTAATAATAATAAGTAAAATTAAATAAATATTTTTTTAAAATAAGAATTACTTATTTAGGGACCAGCAGATGGCATAATGGTTATGTCACTGGGCTCCCATGTAGTCAACTGCAGTTCGAGTCCCGGACCCAGTGGCTTAAAACTCATGCCAGGCATGTGTACCCAAAATCCCAGGAGGTGATTGGATGAGAAGGGATTGTGGGGTGGTCATCCCCCCTGGAGGATGTCTCTGTCTCTCAGGCAAGCACACACATCGCAAAAATCTCTTAAAAACAAAAAATAATGATTTGATTTTATTGCCTTTGGTAGAAAGTTGGGGGCAATTAACCTCTCTTGCTTGATGTAACTCTCTAATTCTCTGACAGTTTTTCAGCAGTAAGGTTGGAATGAAATGGGATCAAAAGCTGAAACTTCAGGTAGCAGATAGTGCTGAGAAACCTCAAGTAGAGTTTTGGCCTCAAGAGCACAGACTTTGATTTCTTTGAATTCATTTTAATACCTGGAGGATGATAGTATTCTTGAAGATTTACATCAAACTTAGACTTTTAACAGAGAGCATATAAAAAATATTTCCTGCAGAGGAAATTGGACATTTGTTTTCCCTTTTTTTTTTTTTTAAGAGTTATTTAACTTTATTATTATTTTAATTTGACCAGATTGGGACAGAGAGAAAGATAAAATGAGAAAGCAAGCCACCAGGTCCAGGACTCAAACTGCAGTTGGCGGGGCCAGCAGTTAGCATAATGGCTATGTCGCTGGACTCCCACGTAGTCGACCGCGGTTCGCATCCCGGACCCGGTGGCTTAAACTCACGCTGGGCGTGTGTGTGTACATGCCCAAGATTCCGAGAGGAGAATGGAGGAGAAGGGATTGCAGCGTGGCCGTCCCCCCTGGGGGGTGATTTCTTGCTTTCTATCTCTGTCTCTTTCTGGCCAGTGCATGCACCCTATAGCAAAAACCTCTTCAAAAAAAAAAAAGATGATGGGGGTGGTCAGCAGGTGGCATAGTGGTTGGGAGCACTGGACTCCCACATGGCTGACCATGGCTCGAGCCTGGACCTAGCGGCTTTCTTGCTCTTGCTCTTAATCTCTCACTTACTCTGTCCTTTGCTGGTCAAATTAAAATGAATGAATAAAATTAAATTTTAAAAATAATAATTCTCTAAAAAAAAAAAAAAAATGACGGGGCCAGATACTGGCATAGTGGTAAAATTATACTGTCCGTGAGGCAGTCCCGTTAAAGACAAGGATATGATAAACAGAGACATCTGCCCTTCTTAGGATTTTATTGACAGTAGTTAAATTAAGGAATTTTTAGTTTTTTATAGATTAAGATTCACATAAGGATAATATGTTGGGTGAATATTTTATACTTGAATAGTCACTACAAGTAATTAAAAAAAAAAAAAATCACTGTAGGAAGGACCAGTAGATGGCATAATGGTTATGTCGCTGGACTCCCATGTAGTTTTCTATGATTCGAATCCCAGACCCGGCAGCTTAAGACTCACATCTGGTGTGCATGCCCAAAATCCCAAAAGGAGAGTAGAGGAGTAATGGAGAAGGAATTGCAGCATGGCCATTCCCCTGGGGGGGTGATTTCTTGCTTTCTGTCTCTCCAGCGAGCACATGTACCCTATAGCAAAAATCTCTTAAAAAAAAAAAAAAAATCACTGTAGATGGGCCAGCAGGTGACATAATTAAGGTACTAGATTTCCACATGGCCGACTGTGGTTCAAGTCCCAGTTGTGGTGGCTTGAAAATCATGCTGAGTATGTGTGCATGTGTGCCCAAAATACCAAGAAATAGAATTAAGGAAAAGAAATTCCAATGTGACCATCCTGTCTGGAGGAGGCTAATTCTTACTTTCCCTCTCTGGCGAGCACTTATATCCTATGGCAAAATCTTTAAAAAAAAAAAAAAAAAAAGCCACTGTAGAAATATTGATCTTATTTTTCGGTCTTATTTTTCTGCTTATATTCCTGTCTTACAAACTAGTGGAGGATGGGTCAACTGGTGATGTGGTTAAGGGAGCCAGCCGCATACCATCTGACTGACTGCACAATTTGAGTCCTGCACCTCGTGGCTTAAAAATTCTGTGAGAGGGTGTGTGTTTGTCTATCTGGCTCTCTGTCTCTCCAGACTCCCGAGAGGAGAAATGGAGAATGGATTACAGCATGACCATCCCCCCCACCGCCCACCCGGGGGATGATTTCTCACTTTCTCTTTCTGTCTCTGTATCTCTCTGGTGAGCACACATGCACTGTAGCAAAAAATTTTATACAAAGAGAAGCTAGTGGAGGGTGGACACTATGGCTACCCTAATGTTAAGATAAGAACATATATAATGTTCATTGCTAGAAATTTTTAAGATAATGTATCTTGTCCACTTCTCCCCATTTACTTTGCTTCCACAAATTCTGGCATATTGCTGAATTAAGTTGGCTTAATTTTAAATATTGGGTCATTGGAAAAGTCATGTTGTGTTTTTCTATGCAAAAATGCATCACTGACTTTTCCAATGACCCAATATTTAAATGTCATGATTCTCATGATTTTGCCCTCTAATTATTATTATTTTTTTGAGAGGTTTCTCTTTTTTTTTTTTTTTTAAAAAAAAAATACAGATTTTTGCTGGGACCAGCAGGCTGCGTGGTGGTTAAGGTGCTGGACACTCCCACATGGCCGACCATGGTTCTAGTCCTGGACCTGGTGGCTTACTTTCCCTCTGTGTGTGTATGTTTCTCTCTGGTCAAATTAAAAAAAAAAAAAAGAATGAATAAATAAAAAATTAAATAATTACTTAAAAAAAAATAAAAGATTTTTGCTATAGGCCATGTGGGCTCACCGGAGAGACAGAGACAGAAAATGAGACATTACCCCCCTCAAGGGGGGATGGCCACACCGGAATCCTGTCTCCATTCTCCTCTTGGGATTTTGAGCACGCATGCACACGTGCCCTCTTTTGAGTTTTAAGCTGCTGGGTCTGGGACTTGAACCATGGTCGACTACATTGGAGTCCAGCAATGTAACTCTTATACCATCTTCTATTCCCAAGAGATTTTTTATTATTTATTTAATTTTTTGCTATAGTATACATGCGCTCACTGGAGAGACAGAGATTGTGGCCCAAACACAATCCCTTCTCCATTCTTCTCTTGGGATTTTGGGCACACCTGCACAAGCACCTGGCATGAGTTTCAAGACACTGGGACTGGGACTCAAACTGTGGTTGATTACTTGGGAGTCCAGCACCTTAACCAGTACACTACCTGCTGGCCCCTTGCTCTTTAATTTTAACATCTATTGATGATTCTTACCTGAAACAAACACTACTATGGTAAAATTGCCAAACTGCAAATTATTTTCTTATAGATTTATATTTTATTTATACTTTTATATATAAATATTCACACACACGTATGAATATACTTATGCCAGAGGGCACATGCACAAGAAGGGATAGGGAGGAAGAAAGGAGTATAAGAAAGAGAAAGTAGTCTTCATCAGGGTCTGGTCACACCTCAGTCCTTATGGGATCCTAGGTATTCATATATACATTGGTGTGGCTTTCAAGTCACTGGGGCTGGAACCGGAACCCTTGTCAGTAACATGATACTCAGTTTCCTCCATGTAGCACTTAACCACTTTGCTATGGGGCTGGCCACATTTGCAGTTTAGAAATACAGTTTCTGTTTGCTTTCTATTTCTTTTTGTTTTCCTTTTTAGAATTATTTTAATTTTATTTATCATTTTTTCAATTTGATCATGGCAACAGAGAGAAAGAGTGAGAAAGCAAGCCACCAAGTCCAGGTGGCTTAAATCATGATTGGCCATGTGGCAGTTCTGCGCCTTAACCACCACGCCGCCTGTCGGCCCTGTTTGCTTTATATTTCATTTCCTCATAAAGTATTGGGTTGTCGGAAAAGTCATGGGATATTTTTCTATGTTTTTCTATGCAAAAATATGTCATGAGTTTTCTGACAACCCAGTCAATGAAGAATATCATATCTCCTAGAATCTCTAAAATCTCTTTTCTTACTATAAAAAGTTTTATTTCATGTGTAGTAATAAAGGATCATGTAGGAAATATGAGATATTATCAGAATTAAATTGCCAGTTTGAAACTTCATCAGACACTCATGTTCTGCCTCACTAAAGTCATTGTTTCATTATTCTGTCTTTAAATCAAACATTATCACTCATTTCACACTACTTAGGGATCAATCTCTTTTTTTCCTCCTATTCTACCAAAAAGGAAACCAAGGCATAAGAAGATTGTGACTTTAATTTCACAAGTTTGACCATCTTGTCTCCTGGAAGTTGGGTGTCAGTTGACAGGAAAAAAAATCTGTCCTGAAGAGGGATAGGTCTTTCCAGAATGAGCCCTGGTAATAAAATGCTCATATCTTTGCCCTAAATTTTAGTCACTGGGCCCTTGTTGCCTACAAGTGACATCTGTGGAAGTCTTTTTTTTTTTTTTTTTTTTTTTTTTTTTGACAGAAACCCTGACAGGGTTTTTTTGT